ATCCGCCCCGGTCGCCAGGGTCATCTGCTCTGTCTCGGCCCTCCAGATCCTCCCCGTCGCCCTGGCTCATCGGCTCTCCATCTCTGCCCCAGGCTTCTCTCCCACCTGCTCCGCTGCCGTCGGTCGGCCCCCTGGAGTCGACAGCCCTTCCTCCACCATGGCTCCTCCCTCCGTCGGCTCCACCGTTGGACCCTGAGCCCAGTCCACCATCACCCCGCTGCGTGGAGCACAAGCTCGAGCCCACCGGGGACGGAGAGCCCATGCCCGCCACGATCAATGAGCCATCGCTGAGGAGAGCGACAGAGCTGGAGACCATCCCGGAGCCTGAGCCTCTCAGAGCGTCCAATCAGGTGTGTGTGCCGGCAACAGTGCCCACCATGAGGGAGATGGCCATGGACACCCACTGCACCATGGCTGAGGGTGAGCCGAGCTCAGTGGACTCTAACTTGGATTTCTATGTGAACATGCCTTGTCTTCTCCCGCCATCGTCTGTCCCATCACGACCACGGAGGTCGTGTTTGAACTATCTGCCTGCCCTGAACTGTCTATCTGTCCTGAACTATCTGACTGTGTGATAACTACCACGGAGGTCGTTCCCCTATTACTGGCACTCCCGGTGCTGGGAGTGGCCTTGTGATGTGTGTGGGCAGCACACACCGTTCCTAAGCCCCCGGATCATCCTGAAATCCCGCCCAGCCTCCCTCTCCCATGAGGTTGCGCCTTACGGGAGGGGGGGGCGAACTCTCACACCCATGGACGTTTTGTTGTGTTTTAATCCCCCATGTGTTCAGTGTGACCCAGTTTTTCCCCGTGTTTGATTAGTTAGTTCACCTGTGTCTTGTTTATCATCCTCCCCTGTCTGCCCCTCGTTAGCAACACTATTTTAGTTGGAGTCTGATCCGTTTGCCTTTGTCTGGTATTATTTGTGTTGCTGTCCTTGATGTGCTACGTGTGTCTCCTGCCTGCCTGCCTGCCTTGTATTACCCTCTGTGTGGAATTATTAAAGATTATTGAACTATATCTTCTTTGTGCGTGTTTGTCGACCACATTACTTGACAGTTGTAAAATCTAAAAAATCCAGTCCCCCCTGTTTTATTAGATTCACTATTACTGATTTCCTGATATAGTGAGTTTTATTTTTCCAAACAAAATTGTTTAACATGCTATCAACTTTTTTTAATGTTCCTTTATCAACCTCCAAGGAAAGAGCTGCATAAGTCAGTCGAGACAATCCTTTGGCTTTAGAGAGTAAAATTCTTCCTCTTATTGATAAGTCTCTCTGCAGCCACATATTGAGTTTCCTTTGGGTTTTCACTATTAGAGGGTCAAAATTTAGTTTATATCTTGTTTTTTGGTCTTTATTGATAACAATTCATAAGTATGTATCTTGATCTTTCACAGGAATGTTGCATATAGAGGGAACATCACAGCGTTTAATTGACATTAACTCATATTTGTTGATATTCGGGCAGAGACCCGAAGCTCTGGAAAAGGACTCAATCAATCTCAAAGCTAAAGGGATTTGGGAGGCGTAATTCAGATATAAAGTAGTGTTGTCAGCCTTAAAAGCGCATATCACGAATCATTTGATTTAGATCGGGACTTTGGAGCACGTATCGTGAATCATTTGATAGATTGAAACTTTTGAGAGGTTTCGGGATTCATTTAGAATGATGAATGATGGTTCACGAATCATTATTCAGATCGGAACTGAGTGCGTATCATGAATCATTTGATTTAGAATAGATCGTAACTTCTGAGCGTGTATCACAAATCATTTTATTCAGATCGGAACTTCAGAGAGCGTATCACAAATCATTTGATTCAGATTGGAACTTCGGCGAGCGTATCACAAATCATTTGATTCAGATCGGGACTTGGAGCGAATTTGCTAATCATTTTATTCTGATCGGGACTTCGGAGCGCAAATCATTTGAGATCGGGACTTCGCAGCAGGTTCTCGAATAATTTAATTCAGATCATGAATTCGGAGCAGGTTCCCAAATCATTTGATTCAGATCGCGGAGTGCTTCTTGCGAAACTTTTTTCTATTTCATTCTTTTTTTTTACTAAACAGTACAAAACATCAAACCAAAAAACAAACAAACAAACAAAAAACACAAAGAAAGAAAGAAAGTACACACAGACACAAATGCATTGACAGGTTAACCAAAAAAGTAATAAATTTACACCTTAAGAGGAGACATAGGACGAATATAGACATACAGTTTTCACTGCTTTAGTATTAACAGAACTTTAGACAATTTCTATATACTTGTTTAGATCAACTTTGAATAAAGAAAAGAGAGATTTAGAGCCAGTACCTTTTTGTTCATGTATGTGAAATTTAGCTAGCAGGAAGCACACATTAATTAAGTTAGTCTATATTTTCCTGCACTCTAAAAATCGTTTGGTTGTTTACTGTAACCAATATCTGCGTTAAACATGTTGGATCACTTGCTGAGTTATTCTTAACGTTTATTGGGTTATTTCTATTAAAATGCAACCAGTTGGGTTAAAATTATAAATTTCAACGGTCGATACGTGCGTCTGTGTATATATACTACATACAATTGTCACAAGCACTTATAGGCTACAGTTTAATTTGTATGTTCTATTGTATTTATTTGTGCAATTGCTTGTAATTTCTTCTTATTTTATTTCTGACTGGTTACTTCTCTTTAATGTTCTAACTTTTTATTTGTTAGGCTAATATTAGTTGTTGCTGTGATTGTAAATTGAATGGAGAATTGTGCAATTTCACTGCTAAAATGTTGGTATTGTATAGGTTACATAGGTAAAAAACAAACAAACAAAAAAACCAATGAAATGGCTTGACCAGTAGATCAGATGAACTGTAGCCTACTGTAGAGAGACTGCTATCATTAGGCTTACATCATTTATTAACATTTTTGCATTGACTTGTTAGCAGTGTAAGTGGTAGGCTACTTTTGACTCACTATAGTAATATAGTGGTTGAGTAGCTGATTTACAAGGCACCACTTGAGCAACGGTCTCTTGGTACACATTCTCACTGAAGATGAAATACTAGAACCAGATCTTCTGAACTCCAGGTCCTCCTTGTGAAATGCCCAAATCTGCCACCAAACCCAGCGCAGTTTGACCGCAACACTCTCGTCCAGCAGATCCACCTTCACCAGCGGCGGTTTGTCTTCTATTACCGGCAGTCTAGACACAAACATTGTTCCATCATTTGAGTTTTTGATGGTGTGTGTGGAGAAATTAAAGATGTATGTACTTTGGAGGATGGCCTGATCCTCTCTCAATCACTTTATAATGGCTCTAATTGAATTGCTTGGGTCAGAGGCAGCTTTCCAGCAGCAGCTCGCCGGCCGCAGGGCAAACAGTGTTAGTGAGAGCTGAAGGGTGCGAAAGGAAAAAGGTTACAGAGAAGAAACTCTGAGAGAAGTGACGTGAATTTAGAACAGCACTGATCTAGATCACTAGCGACTAAAGATTTCTTCATCTTTCTTTATCTTTTCTTGTGTTTTTGTTATGCTTTTAAGCTGGGATGCTGGTTTGAGCTGGTTTAAGCCGGTCCTTTGCTGGTTTATGCTGGTCATTTGCTGGTTTAAACTGGTCCTTTGCTGGTTTATGCTGGTCCTTAGCTGGTCATGTGCTGGTCTTAAGCTGGTAGGACCAGCACATGACCAGCTAAGGACCAGCTTAAACCAGCAAAGGACCAGCTTAAACCAGCTCAAACCAGCATCCCAGCTTCAAAACATACCTAACCAGCATATGCTGTTTTTTTCAACAGGGTGATCCTTTATAATATTTCTATATATCAAACAACATACTAAATCATGCTAGAAACATGTTGGCAACGTACTAAATTGTGCTAGCACATGTCAACGCATGCTAGCAATGTGCTAAATGATGCTTGCAACATGTTTGAAATGTGATAAAACATGCTAACAATGTGCTAAATCATGCAACATGCTAGTTATGTGTTAGAAATGTGTTAAATCGAGTTAGCAATGTACAAAATCATGCTAGCAACATGTTAAATTATGCTAGCAATGTGCTAAATCATGCTTGCAACATGTTAGAAATGTGATTTTTTTTCAACAGGGTGATCCTTTATAATATTTCTATATATCAAGCAACATACTAAATCATGCTAGAAACATGTTGGCAACGTACTAAATTGTGCTAGCACATGTTAACGCATGCTAGCAATGTGCTAAATGATGCTTGCAACATGTTTGAAATGTGATAAAACATGCTAACAATGTGCTAAATCATGCAACATGCTAGTTATGTGTTAGAAATGTGTTAAATCGAGTTAGCAATGTACAAAATCATGCTAGCAACATGTTAAATTATGCTAGCAATGTGCTAAATCATGCTTGCAACATGTTAGAAATGTGATAAAAATGCTACCAATGTGCTAAATCATGCAACATGCTAGTAATGTGTTAAATCATGCAAGCAATGTGTGAAATCATGCTAACAACATGTTAAATTATGCTAGCAACATGTTAAAACATGCTAGCAATGTGCTAAATTATGCTAGAAACATATCAACAATGTGCTAAATCATGCTAACATGTTAAAAATGCTAGCAATGTGTTAAATCATAAATCGTAAAATTGTAAAATAACAAATAAACGATCAAACACTTAGCCTACTAAAAAGATTTAATTTGAAATATTTAATTTGTTTACCTGCATGTCATGTGACCATAAACCAAAGTCAGAGAACCATGAATAGGAAAATGTGTTATTTTTAATATTAACTTATTACCTTAAAATCTCATGGGGACTATAAGTAAATATATTAGGTGAATGAGGTTCGGCTGACAAAAAAGTTTGGGAATCGCATTATGAAATAAATAAGAAGAAATAACATGAATTTGTGCTTGAAAGTCAACCAAATATATAGTGATAATTCAAATAAAAATTTATGTGTAGTTGATGCAGTGTTGAAATGGGGAGAAAACACAATCAACCACATATGGTATTTATAGTAAAACTGTGGTTATGGATTGTGGTTGTGTAATCACATGTTAAAATTACATGTGAAATAAGTGAAACACATATGATCGCATACTGTCCACAAGTGTCCACATTTGATCACATGGGTTTCACACATTTATACCATGAAAATGTTTCAAAACCACGTTTCATGTGTGTTTCATATGTGTTTCACAAATTTCACATGTAATTTTAACATGTGATTGCATGTGAAATTCATGTGCTTTTTTTGTAAGGGTAATCAACACGCCAAAAAACATGGTTACTACACTTTTACTATAATAAAACCATGGTTAAGTTTCCTAAGAGTTGGGCGATACATCGGTGCATCCCTAATAAAACTACACTGGTATATAAATAACACTAAAATGATTTTTACAAATAATTTTTATATGCAAACTGACACACGACCGCCCAACCCGATCTCATGAAAGTGCGTATAAATAGTACGCCAAATAAAACCGTAAACTCGTGGTATTGATATGCAAAAATAGACTTTGGCGTGTTCATGCTACGTGATGGGTAGGTTTAGGGTTGTGGGGTAGATGTGTATCATATGTACACAAAAACTGCGTATCATATGCACGCCAACAAATTTCGTATCATATGCACGCGAAAACTGCGTATTATATGCACGCCAAACACATGCGTATCATATGCACGCCAAAGTCCATTTTTGCGTATATATACAATGAGTTTTCGTTTTTATTTGGCGTACTATTTATACGCATTTTCATGAGATCGACCGCCTCACATTCTGCTGCTGTGCCTCAAACGCCTTTCCAAGACATTCAAACTCTGTGAGTCAGACAGAAACGCAGATCTTTTGAAGAATGTGAGCTCGACATGTTAAACGACAGTCTGTTTGGGCGTCTCAGATGATGCATTTAGCACAAAGCGCCGCGATCATAAACACAGCTGTGCGTCTGTCCTGCCACGACAATCAAAGCGTCTTCGTGCGTCGGTTTGATTTGAGCTCCTGCATATCAGAGAACAAAACCACTGCGAGATGTTTCCAGACATCCGAGGCCTTTCATGCCACAAACAAAACCGCATTTCATTTGTTCGAGTCTTTTTCGGTGGAGCGAATGAACCTCCTGCTGTGAGGAGAGACAAAATAAGCGTTTATCCTGATGGCATTATCTCTGAGGACGGTACGTTTGCATATAAACAGCGGAGAAAGATCAGGACGATGATGATGATGGTTGGTTATAGCTCAGATGTTGCAGGACATCAGTAGGGGGGAAGGAAACAGCAGTAACAGGAAATCACATTATAGCTCAAATATGGAATTGGCGTTCGCCTCAAGCTGTTGTCGAATTAGAGTCGTGAAGGGCACGGCTGCAGGTTTCACCGGCGGAAAATTGCCACACAATTGACTGCGGCTTGACCCGTCGCTCCGTCCTCCATAAAAGCCGGAGAGTATTTTCTTGTGTACAATGATTGGATCAAATGACATAAAACCACATCAGAAATAAGGCCTAGGACTCTACTTTATAGGACAAAGTGCTCATCCACTAACTGAACTAAAAGCTGCCATTCATTTCCCACTTGCCTTTATCTTTATGGGACATTTTAGACAGTCTACAGCCTATACAGGTTTACTGTAGCACATTATTGTTAACTAAAACTAAAGATATAACCATTAAAATCTATTGCTTTTGGTACTGGGAATTAAAGCCGGAATAAAATAAAAAAATATATAAAATAAAATAAAATAAAATAAAATAAAATAAAATAAAAAAAAATCTATTAGATTAAAAAAATGTTAACAAAAATTTGAAATGTTGCCTTCGCAGTTAACTGAAATAAGTAGAAGTATTAAAATTACTAAAACTGAAATAGAAATAAATAAAGGCTTTGGAGAAATATTTACAAAATTTAAAAATATATTACAAAAAACATAACAAAATTACTATTAAGATGTAGTGATATATATATATATATATATAAAACGAATACAATTACAAACACAATTACAACTACAACAATTACAAAAACAACAAAATCACTGAAAATTAAACTTAAATTAAAAGTAAAAGATATAAAAATAACAGTTATTCAAAATATGAATAAATACTATAGTAGTATAATTAAGGTCACACTTTATTTTAAGAACCAAGTCTCACTATTAAGTAACTTTTAACTACAACTTTTGCCTCAATAAACTTCTGTTTTGCTGCTTATTAATTGTAAGGAAGTTAAGTTTAGGTATGGGGTTGGATTTATGGATCTAAAATATGGTCATGCAGAATAAGGCATTAATATGTGCTATGTAAACAGCCAATATGCTAGTAATATGTGGAGAATTGGTCCTTACAATCTGCTGCTGTGAGAAACTCCGTCTCAAACTCCCTTCCAAGAAATCGAACTAAAAGCTGCCATCCATTTCCCACTTGCCTTTTTCTTTATGGGACACTTTAGACATCAAACCGGGTCTACAGCCTATATATGTTTACTGGAACTCAAAATTGAATCAGATAGCTTAATACGAGTGTTTGAGAAAGTATTCAGCTCTCTTTCATTAGCCGGATCAGACGATTCTCTGGTGGACGGTTGTTTCATGTTCTGATGTTTTGAGATTTGACGCCACATAATATGGCTTTGGCTTTCAGATCAATAGCTCTGTCAGATATGAAGGCATTCATCGTGTTTTGCATTGAACAGATAAATAATGTATTGACGGTGGTTTCATTCGCAGCATCTGAGTTTTTACAGACGAGCAGCTTCACGTTCTGTTTAACGGAGTGATTTATGAGCATCTGATGGGTTTGCTTTTGCTGGAGACACTGGAACATACAGAGATGTGTGTGTTTGAACAAAAGCTTTAACATGAAACCGTTTGAGACACAAACCTGAGCTTTTTCAGAGGGCTTCGGATGAAAACGAGCGTTTCTGTGCAGCAGGACGATCAGAAAGAGACAGACACAGACGTCCAGTCCTCAAGGCCTCGATGATGTTCACCATCTGCTCTGATAGATCCAGGTCTTTCTCTTTCACACACAAACACACATTTTCTTTTTCAAATGGTCACACATTGAGTTGTGTTCACAGGCTACAAACAAACAAAGCAGAATAAAAAAAAATCTGTAACAATAGTGCACAATGTACTGTTCATTTGAAGAAATTTGTTTTTGTATGAAGTTTCTTTTCTTTTTTTAACAGGTGTTTTATGAATTTTGCACTTCATTGCACTGTTTCATGGGTTTTCTTTGCTTTTCTTTTATTTAGCTGATATTTGACATTTTCTGAAGAAAATATGAGTAGTGTTTGAACATTCAGAGCCATACTGTAAATAAATAATCACAACTTTAATGGTAAAGAACTGTAAAAAGGCTACAGTAAAAACCTGTGCATTGTTTAGTGATTAATTATCTTACTATATACAGTGAAAAACTCTAACGGGACATTTTATGTAATTTTACAGTAATATACTCCCACATGAAAAAATACTATAGTAATTTATAATAAATGTTTTTGAACCATACTATAGCAAAGTGTATTATATATTATAGCATTTACAACACTTTAACTATAGTGAACTGATAGACTGTAATAAATACTGTAGTATACTTTAGTTTGTACTACAGTAAACTGTAGTGTATTGTAATATAATATACCCTATAGTTGTAGAAAACTTAGTACAGTATTGGGTAAAGTCATTTGTTTATATTACTATAGTTGTACTATTACCACAGCAACTATAGAATTACCACAACAAATGAATTCAAGTACTTTACTATAGTATGGTTCAAAAACACTATAGTATTTACTATAAATTACTATAAAAAATGATTTTGTAGCTTGATTTTTTGTCTTGTTTCCAGCCAAAATATCTAAAAAAGGAGGATTTTCTAGACAAGTAAAAATTCTTGTCTTGTTTTCAGAAAAAACAAGTCAAAATTAAGTGAGTTTTTGCTTGAAATAAGCAAAATAATCTAGTTTTCTGTTTGAAATAAGATTATTTTGCTTACCCCTTTGGCAGATTATTTTGCTTAATTTTGACTTGTTTTTTTCTGAAAACAAGACAATAATTTTTACTTGTCTAGAAAATCCTTCTTGATTTAAGAATTTTTAGATATTTTGGCTGGAAACAAGACAAAAAATCTAAGCTAGAACAGCATTTTTTTGCAGTGTATTTTTCATGTGGGCTGTTAAATGTTTTTGGGGTTGAAAAAGTAATTTAATCAGTCTTTTTACCTGTTTCCCCTGATTTTCTGACCCACTGGCAGATCATTTTTCTTGTTTTAAGGATAAACTTGCTTAATTTCGCTCAATTTCCCCTGAAAACAAGACTTAATATCTTAAATCATTTTGCATTTACAGTAAACGCATCTTGATTTAAGTATATTTAGATATTTGTACAGGAAAACAAGACAAAAATACTAAAGAAATCTTTTTTTATTTATTTTATTTTATATTATTTAGAGTATCTTATTTATTTATTTATTTTAACAGTGAAAAGTCATAAGGTATTAAACAAATGTTCATTCAAAACTAATGGAGATATATTGCTATTAAAGATAAGTAATGTGAATACAATTATGTTCAGGAATTCTACAGTAAAACACTCTTGAATGCACAATTTATGGAAGTGAAAAACAACAAGTCGTTTTATAATTTGCAGTGAAAAACCATAAATTGACATTCCCAGAATTCCCTGACGCTTCACATTTGATGGTTTTTCATTGAAATAACTGTTTCTTCTTAGTTTGTTCCTCATCAGTTATGTACATTAGGGACTTAGGTTACATATTAAGCTGCTTGTTTCATTACTTTAGTATCATGTGTGTTACCATGATGGTGTTTTGTGTTTGTGTTTGATATTGTGCAAAGTACATATATTAGTATTTACTTCAGCTTGTGGAAAAACTACTTGTGATGAACTTTGATTCATGGTTTTATCATTCTTAAAGTGGATGTCTGTTAATTATAAAGGTAAAACAAAATAGTAATTGTGATGTATTAGCATTATTTCAGTTAATAAAATATACTTTTTTTTACTGTAAATTAAGGATTAATCTGTAAAACTTAACATGTTGCTATGAGTTCACCTTGAAGTCTCTCTGATGTTCAGATTGAGCTGAAATGTAATACTTTGTTGTGAGAAAGCAACAACAGAACTGACGACAAACAGTTAGGAAAGACAGAATGTGAGAATCTCGTGAAGAAACTATCCATTTCACCCCAAAAGCCGAAGAATTAAATGATAAATATTAAACATAAAGAAAGTGAAGTCTGAAGTTTTTAAGATGTTTGTGTGGAGGAAAAAGCTCAGTCTCATTCTCATCACTGTGCTAGACGCTTGTTTTGAAGCCACTAAAAGTCTCATCCTTTCATGAGATTCACCTGAATATTAATTCAGCACATATTAAAAGTGCTTCCTTCTGTATAAATGAGTTCAGACGAGCATTTAGAAAACAAAACGATCATGAGAGAATCTGAGACCGACAGCAACATGAGCAGGAGTGAAAAACCTTGACAGCTGCATAACACCTTTAAAATGCATCTGATTTAAAGGGATAGTTCACCCAAAAATGAAAATGTGATGTTTATCTGCTTACCCCCAGGGCATCCAAGATGTAGGTGACTTTGTTTCTTCAGTTGAACACAAACGGAGATTTTTAACTCAAACCGTTGCAGTCTGTCAGTCATATAATGGAAGTGAATGGAAATCACGGCTTTGAGAGTCAAAAAAAACATACACAAACAAAACCAAATGAAACCCTGCGGCTCGTGATGATACACTGATGTGAAAAGACACAAAACGATCATTCTGTGCAAGAAACTGAACAGTATTTATATTGTTTTTTACCTCTGATGCACCGCAATGTCCGAACTTTGCGGTGAATCAGAGGTAAAAAAAAACATATAAATACTGTTCAGTTTCTTGCACAGACCGATCGTTTCGTGTCTTTACACATCAATGTATCGTCACGAGCCGCAGGGTTTAATTTGG